ATATAAATATTGGTATTGGAATTAAAGAGTACAAACCAAGTGTTAATGACATTATAGATGAACTGGATATATATCTTAAACATAAAAGACCAACCACAATTTCCGAAACTAAACATTTATTGAAAATATTTGTGATTTTATTTTTTGCTTTCGAATTGGTATCAGAAGACAAGTCACGTACATTTTATTTTATTCAATTGTTCTTTTCTTCATTTATTTATTTAACTATTTTTATTGACCAATTTAAGATCAAAATGACTATGCAAATAAAAGAACACAATAAATAAGTATGAGTTTAAATTTACTACATTTTCAAATTGAAATTAGCATTAATTTCAAAGAATACAGTAATGATGACAATGACAGTATTGTCATCATTTCCAACAAAATTTGACATTGACAATACCATCATATCAAAAAATGTCATTTGACTTTGAGAGTATTGACATTGAACGTTCTTTGATGCTAATATCATATTGTTATAAATATTTCAATTACACAATAATGTTACATTTGTGTTGACATTGATATTATTGGAATGCCATTATAATGGTATATTGGTACAAATATGTTATTGTAATTTGACAGCATTGACACTATAATATTGGTATTGATATTGACTTTGATTATAACAGAGTATTGAGTAGGGTTTGCGGAATTGGGAATTTTGGGCTGAAGATGTTACCAGGATGTCGTTCAAAGTGAAATACGGAGAAATTTACCGGAAAACTAGCGCGACACAAAAAAGAGAAATTTTGGACGCGCTATACCTTGTAAACCCTTGAGGGGCGGTAGCTTTATTCCTCCTCCCTCCTTTTTCTTAATACGGGTTAAACTGAGCACTACAGTGCTCCGCCCCGTCTATACATCAGAAATGGACTAAGATGTATTGAAAAACTGTTGAACTGCAAACTTTCGTTGACAATTGGAAGAAACACCGATGATCTCGATATCGGAAAACATGAGCTTTTTGAAAGATCACGTGAACAGTGCGAATAAAAGAAACCTCTGCAATCACCTAAGAAATACCGCAACAACAGAAGAATTGGACAGAGAATTCGTAATTGTTGAAAAATAATAACGAAAAATTTAAAAACATAAAGCAGGAACTGGATAAGCCGGACGATTTCTTAACGACTTGTTTGATGGACGACAACTACATGGATAATCTCATTGAGCATCTGCAGAACCTTTCCAACATGAACGAAGGGAATTTACCCTTAAACCACGCAACGACAGATTCACTTGTCTACAAAAACTTGATAGTTACGAACCGACGAATTCAAACCAGAAACATCACCGGATGAAGAAGGAATCCGAAAATAATGATATTATATTGATATTGATCAGATTTCTCGGATTGTTTCTATTTATCATACTAGTCTTTTGCCTTTGGAAACAAAAACCTCAGTAAACATGGAATACTACCCAATTAAGGGTTGAAACATGCGCCATCTATTATAATCTGTTTATATTGTGGTGCTCACTCCAGCCCGCGTATATGACGTCACCTACAAGCCCGTTACGGCGCAGCTGGTATTCCGGGAAGGTCTGATAAGGGTACTACCTTGTTAGGGTCTCTTCTCTTATTTCCTGTCTTCTCTTCCGCTTCGCCGGTGTCTTAATAACATGTAAGGTTCCCTATATTATCTCGTGAGTATTCTCTGTGTTGGCTCTCGAGCCTCGGACTCATTATACTGCAAAAAACCTTTGTATCCTATGAATCATACTGTATTGTAACGAGCCATGATATACTCTAATAAACATTATATATTAAAACCATCAAAAAATTCGCAAAATTCTACAATTAAACAGATATTGTAACTTTAACTCTGTGCTAACAACGTTCACCACAAAGATAACTACAAAAGCTAGTTCTCGTTAAGATAAGCATGGATTTGAGATGAGTCTAGTTTTAACTATAGTAACAGTAAGAAATGTTAAGAGTGATTCCGTAAGTAAACTCAATCTTCAATTGAACGATTTCTCCCTTTACCCACGTAACTTTATCATTCATCCAAACCGGTAATTCATAATCTTATCCAGGGAAAGTTAATAGGTGTTTCGTGAAAACTTAGAATGAAATAATTTCTAAATAAATTGCTTTTTTTTCATTTCATTTTTAAATTTATTACCTACCTTATAAAATAAACAAGTTGTTCCGTGAAAATTTCAGGATCTACAAATTGTTCTGTTTCAAGAAACGTATACAAAATGAACTAACAATGACATAACTTTAATTTGCAAAATACATTTTCTATTTATTTTCATTGTTAGATTCTTCATTTCATAATTAGGTTTTAATTAATCAATTAATATCATTTAAACTTGTGATTGAACTAATATTAACAAATTGTGGTTAAACTTATTGTACATTTATCATTAAGCTAAAATTTATCAATTAAATAACTAATTCTAAATAATTCTTTGATTATAATCTTAATTTGCTATAGAAATTTGAACTAAACAGTATTATTAACTTCTTATTAAATTTGACAGTATTGACTTTGATTATAAGACAAATTAATGTAGCTTTTTCAAATTGGTCACAATTGTTACTGGTAGTATTGATTTGGATAATATTATGGAATAAAAAATTGAAAAAATAAATGAAGTAATCATAGATAATTGATATTCACAGTATTTACTATGATTATAATGAAGTATTGTTGACAGAACGTCATCTTGACATTGACAGTATTGATTTTGACAATATTCTTATAATTATATATTAAGGATTTATTAAAATTGACTTGAATAAAATAAATGATGACAATTGTATTGAGATTTTATGTTTTATTTATGTGTAATTCCAAGTCAATTGGTGAAGACATGAATAGTATTTTTTGCTGACTTAAGTCATATGCTTTAAGTGTATTTGGCGTGCGTTTTGTAGGGTTCAGCCGTATGCAAAACAAATTCACCGAAGCCATACAAATTGCATACACCTATTGTTTTTGACAATAAACTCGGCAAGAAAATGACCAAGTTATATAAGACGTCGCTATAACAGACGTCAATTTTGTTTTACAAGTAATTGTTAAGGTTAACAACAATAATTTAAATTTTATAAAAAAAAAACGGATCACAGACATTTTGGTATTAGTTGATGCGCAGACTTCGCAATGGAGAAAGTTATTGTACCTGGTGAAATTGTGAACTTCATATTAGCGAAGCAAACCGTCAAACCACCACCTATGATATCGTTATCGGACAACATGAGATTTTTGAAAGGTTACGTGGTTGGTATGAATCATGCAAATCTCTGCAATCACGTATTAAAAACCACNNNTTCGGAGCGATGAAATCAACGCCGCATGACGATAAACATACAACTGATATATTGCAAGAAGCATTGATGGAAGACAATGAGCAGACACTGGACGACAGAATGAATCTATGGAATTTACCCTTACACGACGTAATGAAAGATTCACTTGTTTACGATAACGATGCAGATTATATTGATTATGATTGTTGTATGAACAGTTACAAACCGACGTGTTCTTCAGGCTATTCAAACCAGGACCATCACCGGACGAAGGAGGAATTCGTAAATAATCTTGCCGGGATTCTTAAAGGATTAAGCTTTCTCGGATTATTTGTATCCATCGTGCTGTTATTTTGCTTTTGCAAACGAGATTCCGATTGGTATCAAACGGTCAGTTGGTATCTAAAGTCGCAGATAATAAGCATGGATTACGACCCAATGGAGGGTTGATCCATGCTCCATATATTACAATTTTTTATACCAAAACCATCGAAAAACATCGTTCATTCTTTTATAATCTAATCTAATCCATTATTTTTTACGTAATTTTGATGAATGAACTAACAATCACACAGCTTCAATTTTCAAATTAAATTTTCTATTTTATATTCTTCATAGAATAATTAGGTTTTAGGTTATTATTCAATTAAGATCATTAAAACATATGTATAGTTAAACTTATTGTTCATTTTAACTTAAGCTAAAATTTTATTAATTAAGTTTTAACTATATACTTGTAAATCATTCTGGATTATTCAATAAATTAAAAAATATTTTTATTAACAAACACTTTCATAACTACAGAAGTAAATGATTTTTTTATAAATATTTGCAAAAAAAAGTTTCCAACGTATCAGCAAATAATGAAAATATAACTCAGATTCAATAATTGACAGATGTCTCATAAAATTGTTATCATAAAATGTGTATTATCTCTGTCGACTTGTTCATATTTTATGCGACAAA